GCCGTAAAATAATCGTCAGCCGCTCGTCGAAGGGCCATGCCGCGTTATTTCTGGAGTATTGCTCGATGCTGCGTTTATACATGTTACACGGGCGTTTAAATGGGGGTTCGATGTCGAAATAAATATTATTAACACGTGGCGGACACGTTATATCACGCCGTACAATTCCGCTAGTTTTCGTCTTCTTCCGATACCGTGGAAAATATGAAAATCCGCGATCGTTTTATTTGCCTGCCGCAACAAACGTTTTGAATCCATTAGCGCCCGTTTTACGAATAAATATTGGCGTTGCTTGCTGCCAACCATGAAAACTATTTTTGATCAATTTCAGATACATAAGCACTTGGAAAAAACACGGATACTCCAATTATTTGAAACAGTTAACAGCAACGATAAATGATACTTCTAACTGTTAAAAATTAATCTTAGAAGTACTATTTAAAATATTTTTATTAAAATTATTAAAATTATATAAATAAAGAGAAAGGGAAAGAGAATTTATTTTGCGGTAAAGCTATTTAAAAAAATTGATTAAATGAAAGTAATCTTTAATTTAATTCCATGTTTGATAAAGCGTATCTTAAATTCAGATTATCATATAAAAATATGATATAAAATAAAGAGATTTATCATTAAATCTCTATTTTTACGGGAAAAATACAATATAAGATACAGGCCGACCTAACAGTGTATGAGCTTCGTAAAATAAATATATAAAGTCGTAGACGTGGCCGTTACTTTGGTCGAATCTGTCGGCCGTAAAGCAACCGAACGGTTGTTTAACATTGCACTGTCAAGCGCGAAGATACCAGCGGGAAAGTCTTGTGGAGAGAAATTTATGTTGGAAATTATGCGGAGGATGCGAATGCGCGACGATTGCTGCAAACTTGAGTTTATATTATTTGCATCGCGTCATGTAAAAAAAAAAAGAAATCTTGATCGTCGTTGTGTGTCTAATAAAACGGTCCTCTTAACGAGCTCGCGACGGAGTCGTTGCAGTTTCCCTATAGACATTTTGACCTCCTTACAGAGATCTCTTCGCGAGATATCCCATTTCGCACGTTAATAATCCTCACGTTATTACGTTTCACACCTCTAGCTTCAAATTTTCTGATGATATCTTAGCTATTTAATGAATCGAGGCTACGGCGCGTAAAAGATGAAAACTACTGTTTCAACAAAACACGATTTCACGAGCCAACATTCTTCTTGAATAAATTTAATTTATAAAGCGTACAGATTACATGATTATGTATATATGAAAACTATTATTTTTTATTTTAATTTAATATTATTATTATTTTAATTTAATATTATTTATTTTTAATTTATTATTATTATTATTTTATTTTAATTTATTATTATTATTATTATTATTTTATTTTAATTTATTATTATTATTATTATTTTATTATTATTATTATTATTTTAATTTAATATTATTTATTTTTAATTTATTATTTTAATTTAATATTATTTGTCAACAGCACACACGCTATTATTATTCAATTATTATTCGAAGAAAAGCAATTATTTAGTTATTCCGAAACTGATTTTTCCGCGCGCGTGGCTTGATCTATAAATCTTCTCTTATGGAGAATGTTCACGAGTAATATTTAATTCGAATTCTTTCGCGCTAAATTAATATCAATAACGTGATAATTGAAATATTCGTTCCGTTTTAATTAAAGATTCATTTTACAATAATTAAATAATCGCTGTCGTTAAATGCGAGATTAAATATAACGAACGTTGACTGACGATAGATTAATACATTCCGGGGTTTTTGGCGAAGGTGTGCTTGTACAAGAAGCTCTTTAAAGTTCAATCCCGATCAGCTGTTTCCTTTGTTGCGCGATGCACTTGGGCAACGAGTGCACTTACGGACTTTAAAATCTCGTATATAGCCCGGCTAAAAATCTATTCTCAGCAGCGTGAAAGCCACTTCTATGTGGACGCAATGGAAATTTACTTACCGCAATCGATCAACTCGCATGCACGCACACGCTTATGTTAGTTACAGTGATTTTAATGAGGCCGCGCGGACGGGAAAAGTATCTAATTATATAAACGAATCGCTGACGCGTGTTCTCCCTTTTTATAGCTCTACCATGGCGGTGAAGATAATTACGAATGCTGTAAGCGTGGCAACATGAAGCGTCCTAAAAATAGCGTGCATCGGCCCTAAAACCTTGTGTCGCGATCAGTCATTCATCAGTGGATTGAATATCAGTCACCTGACAACAGCGTCTTAATCGCACTCACTAGGTATCGATAATGATGCGCCTTATCAATTGGCATCTGTTTTGAGAGACATTTAAATGAAATAACACGTCGAAATATGTGCATACTTTTAAAGGATATGTGACTTTATATCGCAGATATAGTCGTCACGAGGAGAAGTTGTGTTTGTTTAAAGATATCTCTTCTCGTGTCTGACAACTGTTAATATAGACTAAAATAAACAGTAAACGTACAAGATATAATTTGACGAGACAACCCTGCGTAATTTCAGTTGATTTCCCCGAATCTAGAACGACTGAATTTATAACTTTATGTCGCACATTGCGCGAAATAACATGTAGTTAAGTTAAAGCGAAATATAACACACGTAACATATCTCGCAGATGATAAAATAAACTGGCGGGCGATATTATTTTCGAGATGTTTTTAAGATTGATTTTGCTTTTCTGGGCAATTTATATTTCGCTGTATCATTCGTTACACTAAACGCAGTTGCTAATCGCAATCATGTATCAAGGTTTCCATTTTTAGATTTCAGCAATCAGATGTAATCTTCAGATGAGATCGAACCTGTACATTGAGATCTTTGTATTTTTTGACGAAATTAATAATCGTACGATTATATTTAATCCAGAATTTTTTTTCAATTATTAATCCACGCTTTATTTCATCGATCTGAAATTTTATTATAATTAATTGTATTTATTATAATTAATTGTTATTTATATTGTATGTTTATTTATATAATTGAGATCTTTGTATCTTTTGACGAAATTAATAATCGTACGATTGTGTTATATTTAATCCAGAAATTTTCTTTCAATTATTAATCCACGCTTTATTTCATCAATCTGGAATTTTATTATAATTAATTAATTGTTATTTATTGTATATAATTAATTATCCGATACTTTGAATTTAATTAAAGATCTCTTAATTATAGATTGAAAAAACGTGCAGAAAATGCAATTTATATTTATATTTAATTTTAAATACCGCCACTAAATATTTTTACTCTGATATATGGAAAATATTCTTTGCTCGAGTGTGCTGACTAGTAACTCTTGAAAATTCGATCTATTATTGGACATCTTGTTTTATTCTGGGATGCCTGACACGTTACATAAATCGCAACGTAAATTGTCAACATAAAGACAAAACTATAGACTGAAAACGTGCGCCTTTTGGAAACTTCTTAGAGACACCTGACTCAATTTAACTTGACGTTAGAAATCAAGCAGAGACAAACCCAGGCAAAGATTGCGTCAGGTTTCTGGCAAGGGAGGAAGAGAAGACGGATACTTGCGTACATAAGTCGATTACATAGACAGAATCGAGACGAGCAAATATAGCTATTACGCGACAGACGGAGGAAGACAGGATGTTCGAACGTTGAACGTTAAACAGTATTATTTATTCTGACATGATCACGTCGTTGTAGATTTGTCAATGGCATTTTTAGCGTCACGCGACGCAAACATAACGTGACGATTGTATTATCTTTGTAAGTCACGAGAAAAAAACGCGGCATTTTAAGTGAAGATAATTTATTACTGGCAAGATTCTTTCGTATGCACATGTACACAAATGGCTTTCTCCCGGACTACGAAAGATTCAATAAATTCCTCATCTAATTACGTAGATTAACAATTCTAAAAAAAGATCGGTTATAGCACTTTTAATCTCGGATTGTTGGAAAAAGACGATCGGACGTTAGAAAAGAAATTATCGTTTTTTTTTCATGAAATTAGCCTTTTATTTTAGCGATGTAATAATTTAATTGCTTCTATTAATTACAATTCCGTCTTTACACGAATAGAGAGAGATTTTATGGATACCTAAGACTATGTAAGGAGGTACGTAGAATGGAAGTTTGGCATTTCTATTGACTAGATTTTTAACTATACATACGTATGGATTTTTTTGGTCCTTTGAGGTAAAATGTGTTTAGAACGCGCGATACTTAAGAAATACTCGACAATTATTTTGTCGTAAAGTTATACGTATCAGAATCTCTTAATAAATATATAAATAAATAAATCATCGCACACAATATACAATGTAAACAAGACAAAATAAGATTAGCTCTTTTGCAAGTCTCCTTAAATTTATCCTGCAATTATGTCTCGATTATAACAATTTAATATCTATGTCCATAATAACAAGCATAACAAATAATATTTTATTTAATAATATTTTATTTGGATTCAGCGTCTCTATCGCTGAATCGCAATCGTCATTATTATACCTCTGCCCAGCTTTACTATATTTTTGGACCCAAATAGCGTTAATTCTTAATTGTTACTTTTTTCATTATCCAAGAGTACGGAAATGTCTTTTAGCGCAATTAATAGAATAAACTGTGGAAACGATACAATTCAATTGTATCTAAACACTATTCAGTTTCGCACGATTGGTCCTTTCAACTGCAAAAAACGAGGAACTCGACAAGTATCTCGAACCATTTATTTAGGATTGAAATCTTAATCAATGATTGATGAAATTGCCGATATTATCGCATTATCGTATTATAAATAGCATTCTAATGACGAGTCCAAAACTCGTTTTTCCGGTAATCCTACTCTCAATTCGATATAAAATCAGGTACTTCTAAAAAGAGTCCTCCCTATTAAGAGCCATATTTTAATCCCGGATGGGAGAAGAATATTATAATATATAATAGATGGTATGATCTACCTTGAAATCTTTGTAATTTATAAATATATCTTATTGTTAAAAGATTAATATATGCCGATATAATATCCCTGATATTATTTAATCTTCGGTCACTTTGACCAATCTGAGACTCTATTTTATAATATAATATAATATCTCCATCGCCCAATATATGCTACGATATTAATATATTTGAAAGATAATCTGAAATATCTAAATTTTTCTCACTGAACAATATTGAGTTATTCGAAAATTTTCAATTTGCCATTGGCACTCATTTCCTGTTTCTCTTTTCTGATACATATATTACGTGTAAAATGATAAAAGTCTTACTCCCCACGAGAATATTGCGGATCTCGCAATATTCTGGATTAATTTAAAGCGAAGGATTATAGTTCATTATATCACACGGCGCATAATTTGGCGCAAACACATCCGTGTATCCTATATAAAATATTTTAAATAGAAATATCTCTGCTAAATTAATTACGTGCGATTGAGTGCGAATAAATAAATCAGATGTTAAAAGCACAAATACCATTTTAATATATTTGTACTTCCAGCTATACGCATTTATCCATAAACTATCGGATATCTACCGCAAACACTCGGTTAATTAACGAGGGGCAGATCGGGCATGTTCATGCTCGATTCTCGCACGGGAAAGTCTTCCTTGCAGAACTTTCCCGATAACGGCGACGATTCGTACCAGCGGAAGATCGATCCGCGAGTGCATGCGAGCACTAAACGTTTCATCAGATGACTAATAAAAAACCGGCCTTGACATTGCCGGACAACATGGAGGCAGTCTTATGTGCATCTTTACGTCCCATTATATGGCAAATGTCTCCTATTTCCTCGCTCGATGTACTCGATCTTTTCGCTTAATTCTACGCGCGCGAGCAAAGTCCGTATAAAAAAAAACACGTTGACGCATTTTCACTCCTCGCCGAGGCTTCCGTCCGGCTGGTTGTCCTCGTCGTCGTCGATCGAGCTCGATCATCCGGGCGGCGTCTTCTTCTGCTTCGTGAGCTCTAGTAACACCGGATAGTGCAGATCCGGGCAGTATTCCGGATTGTTTTCCAGCAGCTCCAGATGCCGGGACCATACCGTGTCGTCGTACAGTTCCGTCTGTCGCGCTATGAAACCGCGTTTGATCGACGCCTCGGCAAATTTCTGGAATGTCGTCCCGCGTCTGGGTGCCATCACCAGAGCGATCCCGTCGTCGGCCAGCCAGCCGTAGATCGTCTCCACGAGGTCCAATCGAGTGTCGTCGAAGAAGAGGCAGTCTGCACTCAGAATCACGTCGTAAAGACCCAGTGGCAATCGATCATCCTCGTCGCTGTCGACTGTCCGCGTCTACATCGAAAAATCACAATCGGGAATCCAGATTTCAATCCGGCGTTAGGAATGAGATGGCATCGCTACGCGTATTCGGGAATGTCGATTCGAATCGACGGACGAGTATCGCTTCCATAGAAATCGAGTGAAATTTGAAGAGCAAAATTCGCCTCGTACATTTGTAAAGTACTTGCAAAAAGAGTTTGACACAACTCGCGGGAAATTGGAAACTTTTTATTAATGTAAGATGGCTCGAATTAAACTTATAATTATTTCCCGTGGCGAATAAAAAACGATTATAAAGAAATACAATAAGCTTTCAAAACTTTAAAAATAAATTCTTTTTTAATAATCCCTAATATCTTTAAAATCGAAAAAGTTATAATTATAAAAATCATTATTTCTTACAATCCAAAGATAGTATTCTAGTTATCTAAAATATTGTGAAAAAGAATAACGTGTTTTATTTGGAACGGAGCAATCTACTGTACAAAACATGCTTCGCGTAAAGGATGATTTAAAGAGAAGAGATATATACATTTCTGAAAAATATATATAAAACTTATCCGCGATATTTTATATGATTTTATCTCGATAATAAAGTAATTAAATTCGCCAATAAAATAACAAAAAAATCAAATTAATCAAATGAATCGAGTTAAACCGTATCTTTAATAAACAAATTGAAAAGAAAAAGATTAGAGGAACTGTCAGGAACGTTGAAAAAAACATTTAATCGTTAGGTTTTTCAGATAAATTCAAAGATAATTTTCACGTAGATAGACGAGTGTATGTGTATATGTGTGCGAAGGCGAATATCCGTTTTTGCAATTAATCTTAGTCAATCGTTCGAACAATCTTCGATTTTGTCTCGCTGCACGATCTCGATCGAACGGAAATTTTCCACGAAAAAGATTGCGCGGAACTTTACGATCTGCCGGAAGAACGCAGAGGCTACATTATGGAGGCTACCGGAAATGGAGCTAAGGTTTAGCCGGAAATGTCCGAATGGTGCGTCCGTATATCCCGGGTATTACAATGATCACGCGGGGATTCTACACTCCCATGTGGATATATTTATAACGAGAGAGGAGGATACACATGTACAAAAAACATTTTCTACCACCTATTTATCTCTTTTTATCTTTTTACACACATATGCAACATAAAAGTATAATAAAGAGCAATATTGAAACAGTACCATAAATATCTCGTATGAAAAATACATTGAAAAAAATAAACATCATATAATATTGAATATTTGCAAAAAGATTTTTTGTTATAATAAATAAAAAAATTAATTTAATATTTCAAATAGTTTTATCCAAGATGAATTAAATATTTGGACTTGTATTAGGTTTATGTCAGATTCTCTTTCTATATATATATTTCCGAAGATATGCCTGTGACAGGCATATTATAAATGGTACCATGACATTTCGAACATACAGCGAGAGCACGTGTCTTCGTTACGTGACCCTGTGACCCTAGCACGTGCTTCACGAAACATATTTTATTCATACAATATCTACACGATATATTTCGCAGATGTCGTAAGTTAAAAATTATTATTCCGACTTATCATTTTGCCAAACTGATACAATTTCTCTCGTATCTTTAAACTTTCCCGATTTGTAGAGCGAGCTTTTGCGCGTTCCGCGAAAATAACAGACTCGTCGTCGCAAATCGCTTTCACCATCAATTCTAGAATCGCGATTCCCGATTTCTTTACGGTATAAGGTTTCAATTTTTCCATTCATCGGCTCGCGATGACCGCGATGACTCATTGATCGTGGCAACGAGTAGCATAGGATGTGCAATCGCGAAACCAGGCGTGTCGACGGTTAGCGAACTCTTCGTCATCGTCCTCATCACTGATGCGAATCACGTCGGACTTGGGAGTTTACGAGACGCGTTATTCGATCGCTGGAGTCGACGGACCCTACTGAATTCTCGGCCGCGATTAACAAAGTTGACCCTTGCAAATCCCAATGTCACTTACACAGATCCTCGGAACTCGTACAAATGCGGGCGCTTAATGTTTTTTGAATTTCCATGATACATTCGCAAAATCCATTACATGTTACTGGGAATTTGAAAGATCGAAAACAAAGTATGCGTTTTATAAAAAAATTTCGACACGTCATATATTTTTATATATTTTTATATATATATTTTTTTTAATCATAATTTGCGATAATTATTGACTTATTTTCTATCTCAAATCCGATGTAATTTATTCTCGGATTATAATTTACGATAATTATTAATTTATTCTCTCGTTGTAATTTATGATGATTATTAATTTAGTCTCTTGGTTAATAACACGACTGTAGTTTTATTTAATGTAAATTCTAATATAGACATAGGCTTGCGTTACGTAACGTAAAAACTGAAAAAAATACCCTTTTCATTAATATCCTCAATATTTAATTTCCGGCCTCTTTGTGACCGCACGTGCCAATGCTGCAGTATTCTTGTCAAGTTTCAATATCGCTCCGATGTTGCTTTGAGAATATGCTTTTTCCACATGTATTACGCGTTCGCGGCCCTCTGTTCACAGAAATCTGATGAAATACGGCTTATCGAAAAGCGATGGGAACACGTTTCATATCGAGAAAATAAAAATGTTAAATTAATATGTATTTATGATACTACAAAAAAAAAATATCGCGCTACCATCTACGATCAGAAGAAATAGAAGAGGTAAAATCGATAAAAGAAGAAAGTTTTATAGCTACATAAATTACCGAACTTGTCGGAATAATTCAGGGAACGATCTACGACCTATCGAGTACTTCCTCGACGTAAAGTTTGAAAATTATTCGCAATGCAGTTCTCATCGATTCTCGCCCATTCGCCGATCTCGCGATCTAAGAGCGCTATTTTAATCGCGCTCTCACATTGAGAAAAATCGTTTGATTGTACCAACAAGACGTATATGATTGAAGGCTTTGGTTAAATCAAACAAAAATTTCTAGTTATCATGATAAGGCTCAATTTTTTTATAACTAGAATGTTTAATAGATTTTACTATAAGAATTTGGTATTTTCTGGTTGGATCTATAAAATTTCTTGTTACATTAATTTCTTTGCTTGCTTCTTAACTCGTATTCAATATTTACCATGAAATGTATCACTGAAAAAATTGTATTCTCAACTTAAGAATATGCCACTTATCTTTAAGAATACATACTAAAGATAAGTGACATATTCTTAAGTTGAGAGTACAATTTTTTCAGTGATATAAAGAACTAGTTTTAACATTAAATCCAAAGTATATTTTTTTTTCTTACGAGCAGTAGTGTCAGAAAGAGGACGCTAGCTCTCTGATTGTGTGTTTGAGCTGCATCCTCTTCTTGCATCACTGTTTATCAGTTATTTCTAACAAACTGAATTTAAAATAATTTATTCAATAATCTGGATTGAATTTATCCAATAATCTCGTTGAAATTCGGAATATTAAACAGACTTTTGAGATTAGATGGAAAAAATTTTAGACTCCTTGATGCTGGCGAGTTTAATATTATTAACCAGAAAATTGGTAAATTGAACAGGAAGAAATTAATCAGATTCATCTGGCAATTCCTACAAGAATTCTGGTTCGTCCATTTTCCAACAGACATACTGATTGAATCTAGAATTCTAATTAATGCAACCAGATTTTTTCTCAGTGCAATTTCGAAGAAATCCCAGACCGACTCGAGGAAGCGATATCTCGCAATTGGACATTCACCTTAAGACGGTTGCCATTGACCGCCTGTCTGAGGGCCCTGGCAGCCCGGGCCCACTGCACGACGCCGCACTCCACCAGATGCGTCATGTCATTCCTGGCGACGATGCAACGCACGTTGTCGACGCTGGTCACGTTGCCGTCCGTCAGCGTCACCGCGCTGGGATTGCAATACTTGGCGGCGAGCACGCCGGCGAGGCAGCTCATGCCGCCGCCGAGTTCGAGGACGCTACGGTTGCGGCAGAGGCCGCGGTTCCTCAGCAGGTAGTAGGCCAGACACTCCTCGGACGGCCACACGCAGACGTTGCCGGTGTTGTTGAAGCCGATCAGCTCGCTCGCGGTGAAGCACTTGCTTATTCGGCGTATCTGCACGTCGTACGACCGGCCGTCCAGCCGGGTCGAGTACTCGCACCAGCTGGACTCGCCGTCCGTTGGCGCGTTCACCAACGGCGCGCATTTGAGTAAACCGAAGCTGGTGAACCTCCTCACCGATACCTCCTCGTCGGACTCGTTGCCGATCGGCTCCGGCGAACCTGTCAGTGCCCTGGCGAGGATGCGCCATCGGCGCTGAGCGCGAGTGCTCTTCTTGGAGCTGCGAGCGTCGTTGGTCTCGATCGAGGGTGCCTCTCGACGGGGCAAAATCTCCTGCGACATGTCGCAGGATCGGTAGCATCGATCGAAATCCGATAACGTCCACCTTTCCGATTTTTCTCGATATTACTCGTATATCCTGGATTATCTCTTTAATTTTGCCGGAGACGAAAAACTTTAACTTGCTCTCGACTCTCACTTTCGCTGCTGCGAACTCGTGGGGGGCACGTGGGTGCCTCCTTATCGCTTGTCAACGGCTTGTCGATTCGGAGTCGAACGGAATCGGCGCCGTCGTCCTTCTTCCCGAGACCGGTCCAGACACATATCTCCCCTCGGAAACAGTGGTTCGCCCCGGGGGCGGGCGGCTCTCGCCCGGCAAGGACGGGGATGGACGAAGGGACGGGCCAAGACTAAAAGCACCAAGTCAAGTTCTAACTCGCGCCACGCGGACGACGAGCGTTCTCCACGAGCGTTGGCTCGGCGCCTGCGCGGCTTCTCTTTCTTTCTCCTTCTCTCTCTCTCTCTCTCTCTCTTGCGGCTTCACGCCGGTCCACCTTTCGCACCGTTCGGCGTCTCTTCGCGGACGTTCCCCGGCGTCGGGTCCCCCGCGCTTTCGTAAAGATCTTCTGGCGCGCTGTCGCTCGAGCCGCCGCGTGATTCCAAATTAGCCCGAGCTTATCCGAGAAGCTCAATGGCTAATCAGAGTCAACAGCGAATCTGTATAATCTGCAGAAACGTTTTGGCGTACGGCAAAATTCGGAGCTTCTCGAGGGGAGAATCGCGATGGGTTACACGCTGACGTTCGATAGATTTATTTCGTTCGATCAAACGAGCTATCCCATAAAAATAACGTAAAACGTTATCGCTCGCGCTTTTATTGCACGGAAGAAATTATTAATTCTGTTTGACTGCAAACAGCACTTATCGTTTTGTCGTTTCATTAATGATGCAGGAAGAAGAAGCGAGAGCACAAGACGGATAAATAAGCGAGGAACGATAGGAAGATAATAAATCAGCGATAAAAATAGAAACAATACGCGGTTTATCATTTTTCTCGCGCGTATCAGATTTTATTATTTTTATATCCTATTAGAGTAATAATGATGTTTGCAGTTGGCACGTGTTCAATGTTTTATCATTATTTCTTCCGCTGTCGGCTCTCTCGTATGTTATAAGTCTAGTTATTTTCTATTTTTATGATGCACCTTGTTTCGTCAAACTACGAGTGCCATAACTTCTCGATAACGGAATGCCAGAACAGCATTGAATATTCGACAGGTGTTCCAGTTTTACCAAGTTTTAACGATGCGTGGGCTTCTGATAACAAACGTATACGAGCCATAATCCATCCGCTTTAAATTTTCCTTGACAGTTTATAATTGGTTTTATATCTTATAGCTTTAATCAATTTTTTTGTACGCACGTTGATTGATTGACTTCGTTTTTATTTTTCCCCTCGATTCCAACACGAAATATTGCTTTACCTCTGGATATATTGAATATACTATTATAATAAAAATACAAAAAAAAGGAGAGAGGGAAAAGGAGGGGGAACCGATATTAAATACCCCGTTATAATATTCAGCTGGCTTATCCGAGCGTATCATATGCCTGATTCCAACATCAGTAACTGATGGTCGCTTTTCGTGTCGTGCCAAGGCGCAAACACATTAAACTGTCACTAAATTAATGTTTAAATGTTGGCCAAAGTTTCCCGACGAACGACAAAAGTCACATTTAATTGCTCTTTATTTGTTTACGCAATTTTATGCTTCGGATAATCGCTAGCTCCATCGAAAGCAGAATATTGAAATGTTATTTTCATTGTTGATCATATGCACAGTTCAATATTAATCATGTAAATGTATGATAAAGAATATATACATAAGTAATTTTTATTTATTTTCGAGTTTAAAGAAATAAAATGATGTTATTCCGCATTTGATATCACGCAATCATATCAACATAGAATTTATTCTATCGCACGTGAATAATTTATTAAGTAAACTCAATGTGTGTATGTGTGTGTACTATCTAAAATCTAAAATATCCAATTTAAACAATTCATTGTTCAGTTAAAAGCAACAATTGGAAACACACACATTATATATTTATAAATATCTTCTACAATAATTCAGTATTTCGACTGAAAGTAACGAATGTCATATAAAATTCAAATCATATAAAATGTAAATAATATACGAATATATGTTTCATTTATCGCGCTTTGACTCATTGTCAGAACCTTAATTTCGGTTAAGGTACGATGTAAAATGTAACAAATCATTAGCGTGAATCATTAAATTCTCATTACCTGTGTATATCTTTATAATTACCGAAAATATTTAAATGTTTTTCATCATTCAATGGATTAGATTTCAGGAGAAAGTTTACACAGAATATTCGATAATTCTTTACTCGGTGACAAAATTTGGAGGTACGCCAAAATTATGACAGCCGAAACATATGAGCATAAGTATGAACATGTGCGCATAAAAAAGCAACATTTTATTCGTAATACTAATGTTAATTTATGCAAATATATAATCTAAATATAAATATGTAATCTAAATATAAATACCATGAATATTTACTTTGGTTAGAATATAAAAATCGCGTGGAATTCTAGATTTTTAATTATCTTTAAACAGTACGTGTTGCGCGAGATTACTATAAAAAATTGCACCTTCATTACGAATAAATTCACGTGTAATCAACAGTTAGATTTTTCGTTTCATATGGACCTTGCTAATATGAGCGAAATTCAATTTCCTCGGAAATATATTGCTAGGGATAAGCCTCGAAAATTGGTTTTACCGTTGCTTGCTCAAGTTCCGAATTATTTGTACATTCGCGCTGCACTAGATGTTTTTCCTTTATGTGGCAATTATATATAGCATTATATCGTACGTCTTATAAATACATAAAGCAATAGCATTATATCGTATGTCTTATAAATGCATAAAATTATTGATGATGAAAAAAACTCCAGTTTCATCGAAGTAAACATGGGAGAGAATCGTGAAGACGATACCAAAAGAAGCACTAAATGTATGTCTACGGTCTTTCGCATCTTCGCTATATTATCGCAGATGGCTCGGATTTCTAGGTCCATTAGAGATTTATACGCTGAAGCACGCGTCAAACGTCAAATGTCGGTAACTTGCTTAGTTGATCCACACGTCCACTAAGCCCTCACATGTCTACTTTAAAAGTCAACTTTTCAATTATTTGCGCAACTCTCTGGAATTCGCTATATTTATATATATCTTGGAGAGATATTGATCCCCCCGATGTTCCCTATCGTGGCGCGTCGAATCGGTCCTGTCATAATTATAGCGAAATTTAATTTTCAGCGGTCAATGACACCGTTCCAAACGAACTCGTACGTGGAAACAGCCGACATAATCATATTTTATTTATACGGTTTATTTATGCGAGAAACTTGTACATTATAGAACTGAAAAATAAGCTTTTAACATTTTCCATAAAAGAAACGCTTAATATTTTTAATCACAAGAAAATAAGTGATAGGAAATTAATTATGAAAAATTAAAAATCTAATAATTCATTGGTTATAAATTTAATTATTTATAACATTGATAAATATACTCATATTTATACAATAGCATAGATATATTGACTGGATATTTATTTTGTAAATTTCATAGACTGTACATTACTAAAAAATTGGACTCATGTTCTTCATAAATATCTAGATATGTATAAAATAAATAAATTAATAAAATTGCTTTGATATTCCAAAAAATTACCGGAAATTCTCAAGAGACAGAAGCACATAAATATTAAATATTTCGATTTTTCACTTTCAAAGTTAAAGGATGCAACGGTGGAGTTTATCGCGAGATACAATATTTCATATTGGAATTCGAAACGTATAATCCCGCGCAAATTCAATTTTATTAAAGGTCGTGATCTCTTCGCGGAGCTCCCGCGGTTTCCGCACGCGTATCTCCTGCGGCGCTTATGCAACTGCACCGAGGCTGCGGGCACGTACGTGTGCTATCTACTTTATATTGTTTGACACAAATAGGATCCAGTCGTACTGGTACTCGTGGTTTCCGTTCCCCGTGTGAAGCCGATAGCCTCTAGGCGACAAATATATATCTTTCTTCGGTTTCCGTGACTCGAGAATAGAAATTTGCATTATTTATTTCACTCTTAACACTTAATATATTTCATTATATTTTATATTGTATCGTGGGAATGTGTGTTTACATATTTTTCATTATTAAATATATTAAAACGCGCCTGGCGACAACAGAAAGATAATATAATAACATATCATATGATGTATTATTTAAAGCGAAATAGGGAAGAATTTTTATAAATAGAATTTTCAAGTATAAAGAAAGCGTGTTCATATATGTTAATTTTAATGAACCCTTCACTCTTTCTCTTTCTTTATATCTTTGTAAATATATGTGTGCGCGATTAAACCTCCTTTTTTTCTGTTGCTCTATAACGCGTACTCGAAATATTTCATCTCCAGCATTCGCGCCATGTGCGACTGACATAAGATGCGCAGCGGCGATACTATTACTTGTATCTATGCAAATGTGCTTTCGGAGAGAAGACGCGGACACAGACAAGCGCATGAAGTCTGGCGCGATTCGATTTAACAGAGTCGGCAATCAAAATCGTGAGCGCTGAGAGTCGAGAAATCGATACGCATCAAGCATTAACGGTTTATACAGAATCGATTTTTATGATGAAAATAATATGCACGTAAATCTACGAGAGCTTAAAAAGAGGATATTATTATGGATATAAAAAGCAATTAAGGATACATTATGTATCAAAGATACATTATGTATTAATTAAAGAGACATTATGATATTATGTTTTTAAATAATTCATTATTTGTGTATATGTATATATATTTTAACTGTAGAATACTTGGTAGAATATATTCTTATTTAATAAAGAAAAATGTTTTTAAATTTTGAAAGTATAAGTTATAAAAAACTCATGTAAAATTCATGAAAAAAATAATGTAGTACAGACAATAATTCTGTGTCGTAAAATCTTTTAATTAACCTAATTAAAATATAATTTACTCGTGTATATAGGCAAAAATTTTTTTCTTTGAAAAATACTAAATTAATATAATAAATATTTGTAATCATATTCGATATTAAATATTCATGTAAATTTGATTATCTTTATATTTGTAATATAAAGACAAGATTTACGGCAGTACAACTCACTAGAGTTGTGTAGGCAATAATACAGTCGTATAATCTGCAAAAGACATCTGCAGAAGACGTGCAGACCTGCAGATCCGCCAAATTGTACGGAAATTGTTTCGTTCGATAATCACGAAAAATCGCAGACTACAAATACAAATAAAAAAGGATCAAATATCTAAAATTATATTGCATTTAATTTCATTTAATTCTTATTTTTACACGCACAATACCGATATATATATATATAAATTTTTAAGGAATGCAAATTGTTGATAAATGTAATAAAAAAATGAATTCAATTCGTTGAGATTAAATAAAATTAAAATAAGTTTACTTTAAATTATAAATTTTGCTTAATCTAAAATTTAATTTAAATTCCGACGCTTTACTGACTTTCGCTAATTATGAGCAAAAACTAATTATAAGCAGTTTAAAATTCTTCAAAAAATATATGCTTCTTATATAAATATTTGTATATTTGTTGTGTATATATATATACACACATATATATATATATATATATATATATATATATACAGAGAGAGAGAGAGAAGCTTCTACATTTTTATTTGAGAAAAGTCAATTTCAAATTGATCAATAAATTTATAATTTATAGTAAAAATTATATATGGTAATTTTACACGCCCTATAATTTTATATAAGTATATAAGTTTATAAAAATGCCCTATAATTTTATATAAGTATATAAGTTTATAAAAATGAAGATAGGAATTTATGCGAGTGTCTAGCAGAAACAAAGCTGAGAAAAATTGGAAAAAGTCAGCGGGAAGAAAAGTCGCTAGGAGAGAAGAAGGGAAAAGGGGAAATGAAGACAAGCTGTCGCAATGTAGACGCGGTAAAGCGGTATTGCGGCGTTTCTCTGGCAAGGGTAGCGACGCAATGCGTCTAGGCGTCTCGGGTCAGGAAAGTTACGTGACGACGTGAACGACGTCAGCGACGTCCGAAGGAGGAGAGACGTCGCCGTCGGGGAGGCACGTCTTTTCCTTTCGGGCTTCGCTGACAATCCCGCATGGAAGCAAAAGCGGCTCTGTTGGCCAATGACGAGTGCCAAATGCCCCACATTCGCTTATTAAGGACAGGAGCAGATACGATGTGGCGGACAATGGAGCCGCTATCGCCGTCAAGAACGGTGCATCCTTCTGTGCAACTCGACACAGTTACAGATGCAGTTGTGACAGATGCACACGGGACGTTCGAATTTAATGGATGACCGATACTATTCGATATTTCGTACAAAAGCGATATTCGTACAGTAACCAAGAACATAAATCCGTACGAGAAATTTTTAAGGAATGCAAATAGATAAATGTAATAAAAAAATGAATTCAATTTTTTTCTTTTCGTTGAGATTAAATAAAATTAAAATAAATTTACTTTAAATTATAAATTTACTTTAAATTACTATAAATTTTGCTTAATCTAAAGTTGAATTTAAATTTCGACGCTCTTTACTGGATTTCGCTAATTATGAGCAAAAACTAATTATAAGCAGTTTAAAATTCTTTGAAAAAATATATGCTTTTTATATAAATATTTGTATACTTGTTCAAGACACGCCACGTGTACACTTTATAACGGAAAAAGCTTCGCTTAGATAGTCAAACGATTCTAATTTCGGTATATCGTTAGCATGTGGCTTTATTGCGATAGGGTGCCGAGTTTACGCACGTGAGAATCGACGAGATAACACGCCCATGCCACTCGTGTCAAGGAAGTTTGTATTTTTAGCAGATACGGATTATGCGACTGTAAACTGAAGACACAGTAAACGGCATAGTAATGTGAATAAGATATCGTATGTGTATTTGTGTAATGAATAAAATAAAAAATTCAGACAAAACACAACAATCGAAAGAGAAATTGCTTCCCGAAATAGTCCTCCTCAAGAATTCTACTGCGAAGTTCTATTCCAAAAGAGTTGATAAAACAACCTCAAAGAGAAACGGACGCGGATCAATGAACGAACTTTGATTCTACTATCTACAATTACAGATTTAGAATTCAATAAAATTAATCGAAATATATCAGTAAAGAAACTAAAAATATAAATGAAAAAAAGATTATTGAAAAAGGAGTAATTATTGTGTGCCAAAAATTTAATTAAAATAATTATAAAAGTTAGAAAAAAATATATATATAAAAATATAAAAAGCAAATTTAAAAAGAAAACAGAGAAAGCGGCTAATATAAACAGGAATAAGACAATTTTAATGCCAAGACGAATTGTCCGATCAATACGTGTCTATAGTCTGTCGTACACGCGTAATAATTATACGCTAAAGGAATGTCGCGGATAGATATACAGTCGAATATGGAGTCGTGGAGGTGGAAATCGCATTATGCAAAATACACCTAAGCCGTATGTACACGCGACGATGTCTGGAAACTTTTCCCCTGTCACGGATTCGCGCACGTGGAACAGGAATAGTGATTCGCTTCACGAGAATCACATAATGTGGCAAGCCCACCGTTATCAGCTAGGCCCAGATAGTCACATTATGCGTCTATTAAGCTGGAACAGTCTCGAATGAAACTTATACAGCACAATCGAATGAAATTTATATATAAATTTAGCGCTCTTTTATTGCTAATAACAATATCAACACAATCGAATGAAACTTATATGTAAATTTAGCACTCTTTTATTGCTAATTAGTTGCTCTATTCCCGATTTTTTTACTCCACTTTTAAATTCCAAAAATCATCCCAAAAAATTGCCCCATATTAAAAAAGTATTATGAAATTGAGAATTAATCAGATATCTCGATCGATAACATTTCAATGACTTTGCTGCTCGTCATCTTTAATGAATTCGATTTTATTGTTCCACGTTTGAGTTTTAAAAAAATTGATCCGAACGAGTGACTGTGCCAGCTTAATAAATGTTTCTTTGCCAGATTCTGTATTTTTACTCACTTTCTTTATTTTTTTGCTTGCTTCTGTAGTTACACTCATTTTCTTTATTTTCTCTCGTTTGATCTCGTATTTTTTCTTAACTTTTCTTTGCCTGCTGTTATATTTTCTCCAAATGAATCGGAAAAAAAGAATAATTATCTGGCAAAGAAACATTTATTAAGCTGACACAACCACTCATTCGGATCGATTTTTTTAAAACTCAAACGTGGAGCAATAAAATCGAATTCATTAAAAATGACGAGCAACAAAATTGAATCATTGAAACGTTATCGATCGAGATATCTGATTAATTCTCAATTTCATAATACTTTTTTAATATGAAGTAACTTTTTAGGGTGGTTTTTGGAGTTTAAAAGTAGAGCAAAAAAATCGGAAATAGAACAACTAATTAACAACAAATTAGGATTTAAAAAAGTATATCGGTTTTTTGTTTTTTAAATTTTTTTTAGTGGCTGTGCTTTAATTTAAAGCATAGCACAGCTACTATTTTTTCCGAATCGGCTGAAGCAACAAAATCGGGAATAGATCAACAAATTAGCAATAAAAGAGCACTAAATTTATATATAAGTTTTATTCGATTGTGCTGAAGTGGCTATGCTAGCTTAATAGATGTATGTTATGCTATGATAGCTGCGGTAAGTAAATGTGATACGTAATTACATTGACGTTGCGGCAATAAACACGGCCAGGACTATTACTAATTATACGAGTGAGCGTTTCTTTTACGTAGTAAAATAATATTTTAACAAATATTACGTATTATAACGTAAAAATAAATTACCGGGGAGATACATAAATTTTATTAATGTACCATGTGTTACGTGACACGTTCCGTTTTAATTCGCTGCGAGCTCGCCAAATGATGCGAAAAGCGAATTTGCCTATGCAAGCTGAGACGTAAGTCGAAACGACGATGAAAACACGCGAAACATAATGCTCACATTTCGCAACATAATTCTCTAGGAATAAGCGGAACAGCTAAACAAAAATCTCCTATCAATTTTTAACAATTTTCTAAATTTATCTTTTTTTAAACAATTTTTTTAAACAATTTTTTTAGATACACGTAATTATGTAGTTATCTATTTCTTTTATAATATCGATAAATGGTTTTAGACCGTTAACAGCAGATAATTGAATTTCCCTGCAGATACGCGAGAAAGGATATAATTACATCTTCTCTCTTCCAACATAATTACTGAACACGTAATTTATATTAGAGAACAGGGATACGTGTAACAAAAATCAATTACATATACGTTATATTTTGCCAAATTTGTACAATGTAATATAGAAAAGTTTACGATTACTATTACGATTACCATTACTATTACTATTACTATTACTATTACGATTACTATTACCGGAAAAAAATTATACACATTCTAATAATAAATAATATTTCATATCAACTATTCCGATGAAATAATTATGACATATAATATGAAAATACTAGTTTTGCATTTTTCTTTCAATTTAAAGCATTTTCATTTAAACGAATGTATTTTTCGAGGCATTTTAAGGAATGTATTTTTCGATGCATTCCCTATGAAAGGATTTTACAGAAAAGACGAGATATCAGAACATGCATGACATCGACGCTTATTGTAAAATCAAGTGCCGTTTATGCACGTTATAGAGATGCTATAAATGAGAACGTTTCGTCGTATCAGCTATTGCGCCAAATAGCTTAAGATAAGAAATAAAATCTCTCGATATAAAAATACATCTTACATTATTTAATATTTCTCTCTTAATTCAACATTGAAAGATATAGAGATTTTGATGTTGTGCACGCAAGAAAATTAGTGTAAACAATTAATTGTAAACAAATATATTACTCTTTCTTCAATTAATTTAATGTATTATTTTTTCTCTATCTAATTAATTTTTAATGTATTATTTTCTTCTCTATCTATAATTAATTTTTTTAATGATGACAATATATAATAATTTTTATAATTTTTAATAATTCATATAATAATTTATTAATTATATAATCTATAATTATGTACAAATCTTTACAACACTGCGAAATCTCTATATATTTATTTAATTATAAACTCAAGTAGCATTCGAATCTAAAGTTGAGGTTAACACGAAATTGTCCAGGATAGAAAGACAAGATAAAAAATTGCGTTACTCACATTTTCGAATCCCTGCCGACGATATTTCACGGATGTTTTATGGACGATGGCTCGATCCGGAGCATTAATCTTCATTCATCACTTTTCCAGAGGAAGGAAAGACACAAAACACTTGTTACATTTAACGCGTACCTAACCTCGCAGCTTTAGAAGGGCTTTCTCCACGTTTCTCACCGACTCTCGCTCTTCGACTATCACTATCACGAGTTACAAATGATATAACGCGATCGATTCCGATTCGTATGACGTAAATTGTAGCATGTAAATATATTTCGTGCAACACAAAATAATACAACGCACATTGACTTCCGCGAAACCCGACGCGACCGATTGCGATGTTAACTGTCACGTTTGACACAATGGCGCCATCTCTCGCCGAGACGAAATGTGTATTAGGCATGACATATAAAAAGTATATAGATGTAAATACATATATATATATTATGCCATTCTTTATCGCGACTTATTTCACGCGAATAAAGAGCGAAATATTTCTTTGTAAATAAACTCGTCATCTCGATTATAAGTTAGTTAATTAAATTAAATAATGCGAAATGATATTCATTAATTATCAGAGAATAATTCCGTGATTTTATTTAATGTAATCGCGTCTCGAAAATTAATGTGTAACACATATAAATATATGGAACGCGAGATATCGCTGCTTACCTGTTGAAATGTCACCGCACGAATGACAACATGTGTGACCGCGCATAAACAATGTCATAAATAATACGTCGCCGATTTTATACGCAGTCGAAAATTATTAAAATGTAATTTCAATTATACGACTTGCTCACCAATTAAATGCGAGATTTAGAACCGATCCGTGCGCGCTCGTGTCCCGCTGACGTTTCGTTAACGACTACGAAACGACGTCGGCAACTTCACGTTGATTATTTAAAACATGACGATGTGGGCAATTTGAAAATCACAAACGAAATATATAATATCTCGCATGCACAATACATTTGAAATAAATAAAAACGCAACATTGAATATTTATTATTTAATAGTAAATATTCAATGTTGCGGTTTTATTTATTACGTTTTGATTATTCATAATTTTATTCCATTGTATATATTAAAGAAAAAGATTGCATTTCGATGCATATTGCTTGTATCTATGTTATTATACATCTGTGGCGTGTTGGTATTTTTCAATTTAAGAATATAAGAGAATACATCGAAAAATTTTTATGGACTCCGTGTAATAAATATTAAAGAAGGGAATATAACTATGATAGAATAAAGCCTAATCAAAACGCTTCTTTAATGTATTTTGACTAGTTCTTGCCTTTTTATTTCCTTCTTCTTTAATTGACAATATAAATCTTCTCATAGGTAAATAAGATATATGTAATATTTAAATAAACTAAATATCGAGCTATAATATATATACATATATATATATATGTTATATAAATATATTATAAATTATATATGTTATATAAATATATTATAAATTATATATAATTATATTATTAATTACATATTATAAATATATAATATAATATACATATATCAATAACATAACGAAAGCTTGATGGAAGAATTTATATAAATTATTATATAAATTATCAATTCAGAATTTACATAAATTATTATTATAATTTCGAGAAGGAGGGGAAATATATACGGGAAAATATATATGTATATATTTAACGCGTGAAAAAAAAACATGGAAATCCTTCGAGGACCGTGGGACGTCGCTTTGAATTTTTGCTCGCGACGAGCGACGAGCCATCTCGCGCGCAGGACCGGGAAGAAATTCGTCGCAAACGGCGTTGCGGTAACGGCAATGCGTCGAATTCGGGCTCTCGCGTTCGATCAATTCGGTGACCTAACCTCACACGGGCGCGTGCAATGCCGTTTCATTTATCATCGTGCGAGACCGCGACTTGCGTTCCTCGCGAACGGGATGCGAATCGCGCGTCCGCACCGCGGTTCTTACGTGTATACGTCCAAGGGAGCACGGGAGGAGCGCGCTACGCTAGTGTTGACGTATCGACGCATCAACCTTGTTATTGCGTGCCTCGCGTTATGACGTAGAGTGACTGCGGACGGCAGGGAGTCCAATATATCATGAGTAAACTTAGATTAGGGTCAGATTATATCCCCCTAACGTCGGAGGAGGACATGTCGAAGATCCGCGTCGTCGTACCGTTTTCCAAGGTGGCATGGCTCACCGTGTCACTGCCGTTCCTGGCGTTCGTCTTTTGCGTCGCCTGGTCGGTCCTGCATAATTTCGAGCACGCTACTTCCACTCACTGTCAGGTACGGTTATTGCGCGAAGCACTAATATGACTGGCCTTTTCGTATGGATCATGGCCGAGTTATCTTTCGCACTTTTGCATAATTGTATTTTTTACGATAAGCTTCTAGCACGTGGCATACCTTATTTCAACGTTTTCTCAAGTGTGGAGAAAACTTAATAGCGTTAATTATGAGATTTAGAACATGCAAGTAATAATATCGTTGATTCGCAGAATTATATGCATAAGAAATAATTTTGCCTTCCTAATATGTAATTTTTATAGGTGTACAATTTTTTACCGTCTGTCTCGGCGGCCATCGGTCATTACAGGCCTCAAAGAGACGTATGGAAAACTGCCATAGCACTGCAAGCGACAGTGAGAATTATAGTGTTCATGATGTATTATCGTTACTATAGAGAACATGTTTATATCTGGGCACGACACTTGAGCAATGTTGCGCTTGTTATGTATACCGTTGAAAATACATCTCTCGTAACGTTGAGCTTTTGGACTTCCGATGAGAATTACAGTATGTAAAGTGAACATAAGAATTTGCATCGATGTGCATACGAATATTTATACGTATTATGCATTGATAAATATATATATATACGAATATTTATCCGTATGCATATGAGTATTTATACATATTATGTAATGATTAATATATATATATACTTATTTTTCTTACAGCGTTTCATAAAATGTCTTTCATAATGTTTTTGATAACATCTTTTATACACATGTTCCTAGCGTATTATATTATGAGGAATTGCCTGAATGTTGCAAAAGACTTTCATGATACTTCTTTGAAATGGAAGTGGAGATCAATGATGTTGAATGTATTTTCTATATTCATAGCATGTTACTTCTTTTATAGGCACAATAAGTATTGTGAACCTTTTGGTAAGGCAATATTAATTGATATTAATTCTTATTATCTTATGTGAAAAGTCACGCTATATATAAATTTCAGTATATTCTATGTTTGCTTTGAGCGAATATGGAGTTGTGATCTCAAATATGGGATATCATCTAACTGCAGCATTGGATTTTGCCACGACACGTTTTATGATATCAGGAAATAGGCTCAGAATTATCTAAAATCTTTTGATTCACAATTTATAATTATAGTATTATTATATATATATTTGAATTTTATTGTATATTATTGTACATATTCTTAAAACTTAAAGTCTTCATATTATTCTCAACTTCCATATTAGAAAATTATTTCTTAGATAATTTACATCAGAGGAAATATATTAACTATAGCTCCTTTTTAGTGTGATTGCATTGCAAGTATTAATATTAGAATTGCATTGCAAGTATTAATATTAGAAATTTCTTATAATGCTTTAGATAAAATGGAGGAAATACAACAAACACAAAATCTTGTATATTTGCTCCTTTTTGTTATTATCTTTTATGGCAACTTTTATTCTTTAGATATTTATCACAGTGTATATAAACAGCTGTATACAAAGAAATATATATATATATATATATATATATATATATATATGTACATATATTATATGGGAAATAATCTTTTTAACTATATATAATATAAATTATATAATATATAAAAAATATATATCCTCTTTGGAAACTTTTTCTCTTAGTGTCCTGTTCCGTTTTATTTTTATTTTGAACGATTAAACACAAATATATATATATATATTAACATATATTAACATTGATATTTTAAAATTTAAAGTCGCGATCGAGTTTATCAGCAATAAATTTTGCTATTGCCATACTACTAGTCGCAGCGGGTGACGGCGCATTTCGGCAATGCAATACTCTACTTCCGATTGAACCAGTACCTCCATCAAAAACGAAATCATCTACTAACTTGCCGTCTTTATCTAGCGCTTGCGCTCTCACACCCGCTGGTCCTCTATTAATAAAACATAATTATGAGAATCGATAGGAATCTTATCAAAATAGATATTACGACGCAGAAAATACTGACCTTCTGACATCTCTATACGAAACTTCGGGAATAAACTTTTGTAGATCTTTTACTGCTAGTGGATAGAAAATCGATTTTATCATTTCCATGCAGCCTGGTAGAAAATATCGGAAGCACAATTTGTATAAACCGGGAAACTTTGCCATTTCTATGCAATCTCTTATATTTATATCGAACCAGCTAAAACAAAAATTTTAATATTTTAAAATTAAAATCTGGTCTCTAAACATTGTATATATGTATGCATTAAATTATATCTAAATATATGATATTGCTCTCCGATGTTATTCTATTATGTTTAATTTTAATATATTTGATAAAATAATCGTCACCTATAGCCTTCTCTAGCGAATGCGAGAACAGCATTAGGACCTAGCCAGATTTCGCCCGTTATTCTCGGAGTAAAGTGCACACCTAGAAATGGGAATCTGGGATCGGGTATCGGATACACATTAGTCGTGCAAAGATGTCTTTTGTTATCGTTTAGAAGAAGATACTCGCCGCGAAACGGCACTATTCGTGGACTTAGATCGCAGCCTGTCATTACTGCCAGACGATCCGAATGCAGACCGGCGCATGTCAGCACGTATTTTGTTGGTATACACTTTAGGAGGAAAATCATCAAATGTTAGATACTAACGCAATAAATATTACGTATAATAAAATATATTTTTAACGAGGAAGTCTTACTCGAGTTTTTGATTGAACGGATATGGGAGCTAATTGGCTTTCTCCTTTTGATTCCATCATCTCCGTGAATCCGATTACTTCAAAATTGAGAAAAATCTCACCACCCATTTTCTTAAAATCTTCAGCAAAAGCTTTACAGACAACTGCCCAATCTACTATACCTGTCCACGGCGACCATATAGCTTTTTCTCCCTGAAAATAAATATAAATATCGATATATTTATCGATTATTCATTTCTTATTTAAATTATTATCACATTTTTGCAGCTATATTTTTGAATATCTTGAATATATTGAATATTAAAAGAATTAAAATATTATGAAGAAAATATATAATATGATAATTATAAGAGTTAAATTTAAAAAATTTAATAAATTGATTATATATATATGAAGAATTAAAATATAATTGTTCTTTTCTACTACTATACCTTGCACTTTGGTTCGTATTTAGATATACAATCTTTCTCAACGATTTCAAGATCCGGTACATTGTTCTTTGTGCCTCGATCGAAAAGATCATCTATCTTCTTGATTTGATTCAGATTTTGGGCGACAATCAATTTGCCAATTTTCTTGTGAGGTATATTATTTTTGCAAAAATATTCATAGCTGAGTTTTAATCCTTCCACACAGAGCTTTGCCTATTAATACAATCGTTTTAAATTTAAGGTGTTTTAATTCTTCAATTATACATGTAATGTATAAATAAAATATCAATTTCTGCAATTTCATATCTCAAACTAAGCTTTTCTAATTAATTTTATTAAATTTCAGTTTTTAATCTTAAGTTGCTTTTTTCTTATATTAGATAAGAAAAAATAATAATAATCAACGATAATAAAAATCAATACATAATTTATTTCTCACTTTTTCCGCTTCTTATCTTAACTCATTGTCAAATTTGGTGGTATCGATCTTTCAGATAAATAGCTCCATGCAAGTAATATTATATTTTACCTTCATACTTCCAGGTGTGTAATAAATGCCGGCGTGTACCACTCCGCTGTTATGCCCTGTTTGATGCATGGCTAGGACATTCTCCTTCTCCACAATAGCCATTTTCATATTCGGATGTCTCATGATCATCTCGCGAGCGGTAGCGCAACCGATAATGCCACCGCCGACGATCACCAGGTCGTAGGCACTGCATGTGCTGAAAATTTTGTTCACGATTATTTCTTCTTGTATTTATACCGAGGTAACAATAATTTCACGAGCTATTTTAAGCAATGTCTGTAATAAAAAAACTTGTCTATCGAACGCATTTATCTCAATAGAAATTTTTCTAAGGCTTTTCTGAGGCTTAAGATTTATCGGATTATCAGGGAAAACTGCAAATTTTTTCCTATTTATGTAAAAATAAGAAAGTAGAAAACGCTGGATAATTACAATTAAAAATAATCGCTTGTGATTAAAATTAAAAAGAAAACCAATCGTTCGATGGAGATGTTCTTTTGTATCATAAATTTTTTATAAAACATACAAGATTCTTGAATTGAAGAAAGTTTACACATCGTAAATATGCGTATCCATATCAATTTTCAGCATTATAAGGTTGCAAGTTAATTTTACGAAATACGTGAGATGTTTATTAATCCTCGGCTAAAAACTTATTATCAAACATTAGCCGGAGAGAAGATTTAGGATAGGAACTTAACAGTTTCGCGCTAGATTAAACGGCATTTGTTATTAAAATGCTGTCATTCAACGGGACTTTGCGGGATAACAATGCATTCTATCTGGGATGGTAATATCCGATGTGTAAATCCCACAAAGATACCTTGAGGCAGTAGAACCGTGACGACATGTATAATGCAGCTGCGAGGCAGTTCTCTTGCTCAGAGACGTTATCAAGTTCGTCTTCATCATGTTGGATGTGTCATCATCTCAGCCTCAGATCATACGTTCCTAAAAAAACATCGCAATCGCTCGTATGAATAATTTCTCATATATTAACATTAGTCGCATTTCATGTTAAAATAAATGTCATTTTAATTTTGACAATTAGCGTCTAATTTCACGATATTTCTCTCTCGCTGTTTTCGTTAATAATGATGAGGTTAAATCAATTGTGTTGATATAAATGAAATTATCACAAATATATAATTTAAATTTTAATCAATTTTTTCGCGTGTATGCGATCCACGAAAAAATTAAAATTATATATATATATATATATATATATATATATATATGTGTAATTATATACACATATATACATGATAAAATTAATATAAAAATGAATTTTTTATTCTAATTTTCTTTCTAAAATATTATAATTCGAAGCATTCGATAAAAGGAAATTTTTTTTATATATTTTAATGATATTCCTTCTCTTCCTACTCCATTCACAAACGTGTCTACCACGTGGCGATTACGTAATACAGATGCAAGAATAAAATATTGTGTATTTGTAACGATTACACACACCAATACATTGCACTAGTACTGCGATAGACATATGTCGTTTTAATCTCGCCAAGAAATAGATCTAAAACTTTGATGAAATGCACATCGCGTTATCAATATATACATATAAATATATCAAGAGAAAAAAATTATAGCTCAAATTGAAGAGAAGAGATACAGACGACTGTATTTTAAACCGAAACAATATCGAAGCCTGGAAATTATTTTCGCAATGCTTTTCATTAAATATTTTATCGCAGTGATAAGATATTATCAGATATAACCACCAGGTCATACGAAATAAACATACTTTTTATAATGATCACCCGTTGCTCTCCAATTATAAGATATTTTTCGCACAGCAGAGTATTAGACATCTGGTTTAGGAAAGATCACCATCATCCTAGCATGGATAAGAACGAAAAGATACGCATACATTCACATTTTATATCCTCATGAAAGGTAATATAAATTAAATGGCTATAAAATTAAATTTAAAGCAGACGAATATTCCTACCTTTGAACTTTTGAAGGTTATGTCGATCGTTAAGTCGATAAAGTTGCTGCACCGACAAAGTGCTGCCGCCCGTGGCAACTGTAGGAATCATCTGTGCACATTTCGATTATCGACAATTTCAAAATTTCAGTTACTCGCTCGTTCGCGCCGCGTTCGTTTCTAAATCGTGTGAAATCGAAATTTATTCGCGTAAATAACAAGCATTCGTTAGTTTATTTGCGTCTCTCGTAGTGCATAGTGCATAGTATTAGTGAGTGATTAGTGATAAATGTCCAGGTTGAAGCCGGAGCACGCTTAAGTAAGTTTTCAGATATTTCCTCAATTTAGGTTATTACTTTCAGCTGCAACCTCTTCTCTATAACAGTATTCCTTCCAATTTTGAAGTCAGAGAATATAATATGCGTCTGAAAAGAATAATTCCGATATTATAATTGTAGCTGATATTTGATTTCTGCAAATAAATCAATAATAATCTGATATTAATCTATTCTCGCGCACAGAAAAATAAGATGGCGACGTAGCTTAAATAAAATATGGCCTACATTTTCAGTTAATCGCATATTGCAGTAATTGAATAATATTTAGCATAAAGTTTATCGGTAAATAAAAATGAGAAGGAAAATCGCTAACATGTATTCTCGATTTATGTTTGATATTAAATGTAATTATTTATGTCAATAAATAATAAAACGCAGAATAGTTTCGCGTTAAACATGAAGTGATACGTGTTCTTACTGTTAAATACAGTCTTTAAATAGAGACGAGAGTACGGGCTGTAAAAACATCGCGCACTCGCAAGTGATCGAGGTCGACGCGGTGGTTTCGAAACGTCTTTTTTTCCAGGTGACAAATGACCGCGTCGTTTCGCTTCTTGACAAACAAGTCCATTTACATAGAATCATAAAGGTCAATTAACACGTAAACCACGGCGCACTATTATAATAGCTTTTATAATACATTATCAATAATATTTTCCTCCTTTTTCATCCTTTATCGTGTCGTATTTTACGTCAAATTTTATATCTTTCATAGAAGAATTTTAATATTTATATTAAATGTATATTTAATATTCAGTTTTAATATTTATTTTTAGAGAATAATTTTTCGAGAATTTTTTAAAATAAAAAAACACACATGATATTTTATATAAATTTGTATATAATTATATAAATTTATAAAATATATATTAAAATAAATTTACATATTTTTATTTATATATAAATGTATATAAATTTATTATATATGTGTATATATATATATTTATATATTTATTTATTTATTTATAAAGCTACATATATTTTATTATAAAATAAAATAAATTTGCAAAATTATATAAATTTTGAAGGGAGTATATTTTCAATATACGCGGTCACAAATATTATTTTATTTATTGCTACATCAATGATATCTTTCTAATAACACATGGACCTCGATATAACACTCGTTGACCTCGTATCCGTGCGAGTTCTCGTTACACGTAGGTTCGAAAGAAACGACGACGACGATGACACGGTAGATATTGTTTCGCCGAGGTTTCTCGCGATGATAAATGACTATGTCCACATTTCTTAGTTCCTCGTGCGCACAGGATGTATGAACGCGTACGATCGTATGGTTGAAGAGTAATTGTCAGTTACATGGCAGACGTAATCCAATTTATCATATCAATAAAGGAACCGATGTAACATCTCCGAGAGATAACGCAGAATTCGCGTTACGCTTAACTGCGAGAGGAACATAGGCGACAAAAAAATCCCCATCTGCTTGCATTGCTACTTAAAGTTGAGCGTCCGTAAGCGTTTCGTTCCACGTAACAAACTTCCATCGCGCTAAAAAAATGCTAAAACAATCTTAATATAATATTTCGCGACTGAGAAAATTACTACGTCGGTCGAATACATAATTTTTTTTTATCGAGAGAAAATTGACCCTATCCAAAAATCTCTATTAGAATCCGTGTGGATCGCACGGTCTTCATAAAGCACCACCTTATATACGTGTTAATATTTCACTGCCCCAAATGCACCTCTCGCTTTCTAAGCAGCGCCCTTAATCCCGCCATCAATAATCCGTAGGCTCAGGAGTATCAGGAGCATTATTTTGAAGGCGGGAACGCCTACGCGGGTCCGAGAAAAGATATAAATAAACCATTGCTTAATAGCACTGGCACGATGCCCGGTAAACAATTTCGATGCCGCGGTGATCCGTGCGGAGCGGTTTCGCGATATTAGAGGCAAGTTTCGTTATCCCATTCCGCGGACGGGCGAAAGGGGGGAGGGGGGGTAGATAAGCGAGCGGGGGGAGGGAAGGGGGAGAAGGGTCTGTGCGCTTATAGCAGAATTTCACGGAAGTTGGCCCGCTCGCCCCCTTCCTCGTGGTCGTTCACCCCGCGCGAACGGGCGCGAATCCGACAGTTTGATTAAGGAAGAAAAGTTTTGGGTCGAAGAGTCGTATAACGCGGCCAATCACGCGGCCGGCTGCACTTTCCGCGCGCGAAACGAGCCGCACCTGGTGTGTTACGCTATTATATCGAATCCCTGCCCTTTCCCAAACGCTTTCCATTGTCCCGATCCTCTCCTCCGAGAACCGGAGTCCCTCCCGTCCATCCTGAGCGCGATAGATCTCGTGCGCTGTATCTTTCTTGTTTTTACTGTCGTTAAGTTACTCGTAAGAAGTTATTGCAGATATTCTCTGCGAGTCTCTTCTCTGTTCTTTTTCACCAAGGTGATTCAAGCGGTGACGAATGGTGTTGAAGGATGGCTTAAATTTTCATTCGAGTTACCGTCTCTTAGTTTCAAAAGAGGTGGTTTGATTATCCGATAAAAATTTTCTTTAAACTAGATATTGAAATTTTTTAAATTGTTTATGTTGCATGTGAGAATTAAAGTGTAAAATGTAAATATAATTCTTCTCTTAAAGTTATAGAAGGTAAAAAGAATTAAAAATATAACGAAAAAGATTAAAAATATAAAATTATTATATCGGTCGTAAACGATTAAAAATGTCATTATTGTAATTGGCTGCATTAACATGTTAGCAGATATCCTCTCAGATACTTATAAATCTGCTTTAGATAAAATCTGTGTACTTCGTTCTCGAATGGCCTCGATACAACGATACACCTCACGTAGGCGCGTCCCTGAGATATGCGTTCAGAGCGTGAAACCGGTTTCATGCAGCGTGAATAATTTCGCAATAATATAGCTATGCGAAAATCGGTCTTAAGAAGAAAGAAATTTTCCAAGTCGAGAATGAATAGGATAAAATATATATGTATAGATAAATAAATACTTTGATGTTAAATAATTATATTACTTATATTACATCCATCAGAAATTTCTTTAAACGTATAATACTTGTTGACAAAAATACACTCTTCATGTACCAAGGCCGAGATAACATTATGTAATATATATATATATATATATATATATATATATATATATATATATAATGAGTGTATTTTTGTCAACAAGTATAGATAAATATCACCTGAGATTACACAAAACACGCAAAATAAAAAGAATATATTTTCTACATTTTTCTAAATACATCGTTTAGAAAAACTGCTCCTTAATACCATTGACATTTAAATATTCTTTTTTGGACGTTGTGCCTTCAATTTTAATCTATGGAAATTTGTCGCGTGTCTTTTGACAAAGAGAATATATTTTCTCGATTTTTGAATACCGCTTAGAAAAACTGCTTCTTGCTTAGCACTGTTGACATTAAAACATTCTTTCTTTTTACACGACAGCCTCCAACTGAAATTTACAAGAGTGTGAGGATACTTGTCGTATGTCTTTTGACAGCGAGATGCGAGAAAGAAAACACGAGGGACAAGTTTGGGAACCCCTGCCTTCCGTAGGGCGCCTCTCTCCCTCTTCGGTCACGCTCCTGAGCGTGCGTGGCCGCAATGCGCGACGGTTCTTTGACTCGACGCCGGGAGTCAGTCAACCCGGTGACGGCTTCCAGGTTGCGTGCTGTTCCCTGCCAAGCGTGGTCTCTCGGCGCTCACGAGCTCGAGCGAGGGCGGCAAATGCGTGTGTCGCGTGTGTAAGTACGTGCTCCGAGTTGTCAAAGCCAACAGACGCGTCAACGAGACCCTCGAGTACGCGGGGAAAGGAAGCGACGACGGACGCGCGTTCTTAGCGGAGGATGCGAAAAGCCCGCGATGCGCGCGATCGACAGGTGACACGTTCCCGCTGAAGCGTGAAAGAATTTCCTCCGTTCGCCACTAGCCCTAATAGAGGTGTGCGTTGCGTTCGTGGACGCGCGATGGGTCACCAGCGAGCACACTGGTGAATCGAAGGATCAAAGGATCTTTTTCTTCAGCGCGATCGAGATCGACCGCGCATGATCCGAGTGTGGAATTCGATGGGATTACTTCAGTGATGAGATCAGGAAGCGTGTGCGATTGATAAAAGATCGATTGATAATTGATAGGGAACGTCGAATTTCATGTTTCGGTTTACAATTGAAAAGTCTCTTGACTTATATCGCATTGAAGAGAAATCTTCTGAAGAAGCTCCGGCAGACTCTTTATTATCGTGTTATTGTGTCAGACTATGAAAGTGCGATCTCTCCTCAGCTCCGAAGGCATAATCGGATTCTAATGACGAACGCTTTTCCGATAGATCATCCCGCGAGGAAGGACCCCATCGAGCGAACTTGTTGACGGCGCATCCACGTAATCGGCAGCGGAATCCCCGAGGAAGCGCAGCGAGGAATTCAAATATCTCCGTTCACTCGGCATTCGCATCCTTCGCAGCGCATTTCGCGGGTTCGATCGCCGACGAAGCGGGGCGGAGGGGGATCGATCGAGACCATCGACGCGGCCGCAACGTCGCGTCGCCCGCCATCCTGAGGGAGGAACCCTGCAGACCCGATCGAGACGATCCGAGCTGCCGCGGCTCGAGAGGATCCACGAGGAATCCTCCACGGAATCCCGGCCGATCGCCAGACGGCGAGCCACCGGTGCATCCACGATGGAGGACGAGCTGCGGTGCCCCAGCTGTAAGGAGCTGTTCGTGGAGCCGGTGCTGTTACCCTGCTGGCACGCCTTGTGCCTGGCCTGCGCCGTGAACCTGCAGGCGCCTCCGGATTCGCCTCCGGAATCCACCGCCGACTCGTCCAACGCGCCCGGCTCCGATCAGGAGGCCGATAAGCTGTCCATCTTATCGGAGACCGACTCCGGCGTGGTTTGCAGCAGCACGTCCACGAGCTCGCGACCGGGTAGCTACGTCGGCACCCCGGGCAACGGGGGCGGCTTCCCGCCGTCCGGAGGCACCCTCTGCCTCTCGTGCCCCGTCTGCCAGAAGACCGTCTACTTCGACGAGGGCGGCGCCCACAACCTGCCCAAGTATTGGGCGATGCAGCACATCGTTGACAAGTATCAGGAATCGCGGAACGCGCGGCTACAGTGCCAGATGTGCGAGGGGGAACCGCGCGACGCCACCGTCGCGTGCGAGCAGTGCGAGGTTAGCCCGATTATGTTAAACGGGGGTGTATTTACCGGGGGGGTGTATAATCGGAGGTATATGCACGGTGTTTGATGCACACCGGGGATTTGTGGAAACTGATGTAGAGCGCATTATCGTGCGGCGAGCGCGGAGAATTTCCCGGGCGACATTGGAATCTCGCGCCAGAGATTTGGAGATTGCAACTTTGATGAGTAATTGGGGTTGAATAAGTTTAATAGTTGTCATGAAAAAGGATGTATGGCGTATAAGATTGAGTATTCCTAATTTAACAATTATCCTGGAGTTGGAAGAAATAAATTGGGTTTGTTGGCAATGTTGATTTAGCTTCGCTTTAACTTTGATTGCGAATATACGTCTAGCTAGGATTGAGAACTCCAACGTAATAGCGAGTAAAATTTCAAGTAAATATTCGAATAGAAACTGTTTAATTTAATAGAAACTACATTACTTTTAATAGAAACTACATTAATTTGTAACATTGTTATTATTTGTTTTGAATATGTTTAAATAGTATGTTAATAGTATGTCAGATCTCTAATTTGATGAAATTTGAGAAACAAAAATTTGTGTATGCCATAGTCTCAAAAATTTAATATATTTTCTTGCAGCAGATTTTTTATTAATATTTTCAAAAAAAGTTTAAAAATATTGAAATTTTATAATGGCTAGATTTAAAAAAATTTTTATAATAATAACGGCTATTTACTTTATATTTAAAATATAAGCTTGGTAAGCTTGTTTTTGTGATAAAATACAATAATGCTATTTTTTGCTCATCAGTTCTTTTTGAGCGTCGTGGACTTTGCGGTTCCACGCGAGTTTTCTCTATTTGTAATTCTATCTTTAGAAATATGTATCTCTAGTCTTGGATCAAACAAGAGGCCACATACTGCGACATCCGTATAAACTTTTTGTTATTCTCATTTTCCCGCTCGTGCGGTTCTGTAGGGAACTTTCCCCTCGTCAAAGAGTTGAAAGAAAAAGGAAAAAAAATCTTTGCTGCGCAAAAAGATTTGCTTAAAAATGTGAGACTGAACGTAACGTACTGTAAAGAGCAAGTTGTATTTTTAATTGTGAAATTCTTGAACAACTGTAAACTTATAGATAGAAATATATCACAGCAATCATTGTTAAATCATCTAATATTTTTCGTATTATAATGACATTTGGTGAGAGAGACCGTATAGCATTTTAGCAGAATATAAAACTATTTCTGTAGGATGATGATGTTTAATTCGTCTCTTTCGTAATTTCCCCCCGTCCCGACATTTCTGTCCTGATACTTTAACTCGCTCGCTCGCTATGAAAACTTGTACCATGCCGGTAAGATCAGAAAAAGTTCCCAGAGCTACCATTCTTAACGATCGTGGCATCAGCCGTGTTTATTTCTCTTGTGTGCTTTCCTCATCCAGAGGATGCTCGTTAACTCCCCCTCGTTCTTCCCTGAAGTCCACTTCATAACTTTTCTCTTCGTGGTATAAGCACTAGAGCCTCTCTCATCTACAAGAGCCACATCTATATCGTTATCGGTATTAATATCAAGCATTATAGGCGTCGTGCTAGAAAGACGGTGGTTTCATTGACGGCGAAATCCAGAACAAAAAAAGATCTTATGATGTCGCCGCAGACATATATAAAAATTTTTTATTTAAATTCTGTAATTAAATATGATTTAATTTTATATCGAACAGAAACGTCAAGATCGTTTAGGAAAAAAATAGGTACTTTCAGGCAAATTTGAACGATAAATTTATAGACACTCCTTCCTCACAAATCACAAAAATAAAATGTTATTTTATTGAATATCCAACTCTACTTTGACGATAATCGTGCTAAATAATGCGCAAGAAAACAGTGTAAAACTTTTATAATTTAATTATTTTATTTTCTAAAGAAATTGCTGTATTTCCTTTGCGCAGATAAAAGATTTAGTATTTGTTATTATGTCATTTTCTAGATTTAGTTCTTTTTACGTGTGAAAAAAATAAGAGACAATATTTTTCGGACGATTGTCAATTCCGGGCTCGCACAAAATGTTTGCACGATATATCCGCAAAAATCGTCGCTACATTCGCACTCGCGAAAAGAGCGATTGTATATTGCTCGCTGTTCCGTTTGAAAAGATCGAGTTACCGCATTTCGGAGTGTCGCGTCGCATGAAATATCTCGTTGCGCGACCAACATGCACGCCAATCGCATACCCTCGTCTCGCCACCCACTTGCTCGCTTTTCTCCGAAGTGTTAAATTTCATTTTCAACTCTCTCTCTGTTGTATCACGCCGCGACAAGTGGCGGATATTTTTTCTGTGATTTTACATTCTCGCCGCGCCAGTCGCTTCTCGTTGGGTGGTAAAAAAAAGAGACAGAGAGAGAAAGAGAGAGAATCGATGTAGCGCAGTTTCACTCGTCGCCGGCAACATATTCGTGATCGACGACAATGCCTCGGTTGTTGATGACCGAAATGATATTATTTCCGGAAAGGAAATATCGACCGTGAGCGAGGAATATTATTGATACCGAACAATATCGTCCTATGCTATTGCTTTTATTTCTCTCTTATTATTTCATTAAATTTGAATTTTATGTACATGTTATAATAAAGTTTTATAATCATCTTAATCATTATACGACTGTTTTGTACGAAAATCAATTTTTCGAAATTCGTTAATATATATTTTTGCATAATTATTATCAATAATTGATAAATATTTTAAATATTTATTAAAGTAAAATTGGAAAAAAGAGAGAATATTTTATAATATTATATAATTATTCGAAATTATATATTATATAATTATATAATTATTCGAAATGAAGCAACTAGCGCGAAAATAAATGAATAATGAGTTTTACAAATGATAAATTAAAATATTGAAATAAATTATAAATTGCTCACCTTTCTAATTGTTTCGCTGTAGCCCGATACGATCCCGGACCTCTTTCTCCTTCTCTCCCGTTCAACATTTGTTGCTCCTTCATGGTATTCACTCACGGAAACACGGTTAATTACGATCGCGCGTAATCAGTAAAATACGATTGATGTATCAACAAGATTCTCTCGACGTTAATGGCACGCACACACAACACGCGCGATATTATTATATCGCGAATTTGCGAGAACAAAATACAGTACAAAGTTACGATTAATAAACGCGCGAGAAATCATTAATTATAGTAATTATGAAAAACGATCGCCTTTCGAGATAGTACAAGGATAGAGCACCTCGTGATACTGTCTATTCGAGTCGTATTGCGTGAATGACAAGGCCGCGGTATGTAAACAACAGCGTGCCGCAAAATTCGACGCTCGTATTTCGCGACGCACTGTTTGTTTACAGCGAGCCCGACCTTCGGCAGCGAGACTCCTAGTCTGTCTTTACCTTGTCATTCACACGACGAGATTCGAGTCGAACGGACGGTTTCGCGAATCGCTCCGTCTTTGTCATCTCGAAACGTAATAATTTTTCATAGATATTATAATTAGCGATTATCAATTCGCGCGAATTTAATTAAATTATAGTTTTGTGGTTTTTCCTGTTGTTATATTCTCCGATAAACATTGTGTCAATTGTTCGAGAAATATTATTATAGACATACTAATCATTTTCTGTAATGACATTTAACGATTATCGATGCGCGTGATTGATTAACGATAAATGATACGTATGAATATCGCGATAATAATTAATTGATTTAACTAACGAACATAATATATCGCTATTAATAATATATGTATTTAGGAAATTTATGTGTTATTTATATGTTTATTTAAACATAATGTAAATTTATATATTTATTTGGAGAAATTTATATTGAAAATACTTATTATTCTATGATATTAGGATAAAGCTAATATATTTCACTTTCATATTTTTGTCTTTAAAAAGAAATCGTTCTCGGAAAGAAAACAGATATTCTCCAAGTTAATAATTATTAACAAACTTAAATTTGCACTTATGTTATATAATTATATATAAGTTTGATCAAATATTTAATGAGTCAAAGCGTAATTAAGGAAATTTTTATGCATCTATAAGTACGATTGCTCATTCAATATTTAATAAAAATGGAAAATAGTTCAAACATTATCATATCTTTTAGCTTTTTCTCCTAAGCATTCAATATTGTAAATATCGATTCGGGAATCAATCGTTCTCTTCTCTCCCCAATTTTTTTAACATTTCTCACGAAGATCGATTATTCTTCTTTCAGGTTTTATACTGCGACGCCTGCAGAGAGTCCTGCCATCCGAAGAGGGGTCCATTGGCGGCTCACAATCTGGGACCACCGAGAGGCAGCTGGCAATCGAACGGGGGCAAGGGATCCCGGCCCGAAAACACGCCGGTCTGCAACGATCACAACGGCGAGGCGGTGACCCTCTATTGTGCCCTTTGCAAAATCGCGATATGCGCCCTGTGTCTTCGTGATCGTCACGCCGCTCATCCTCACGACGTCCTGCCATTGGCTGCTGCTTGCAAAGCGCAAAAGGTAAGCGCGCTTTTACCTCGCAAATAATTTCGGACAATCTTCGCAAAGGCACGATTTTTTATTTTTTAATAAATACTAGACTCTTTATTTTTTAATAAATACTTTGGAAAGAAGGATAGATCTGACCGAAAGAGGTTCTTAGAATGTAGAGAGAGAATATAAGAAAGATAGGGAGGGAGGAGAAAAAAATAAATGAATAAATTTCACCTAAAAGAAACATAATTCATGAAAAGATTAAATAACGCATTATTAGTATTCTCGATCGCGGTCTGCAAATACGCAATATCGGGACCTCAAACGTGGATATCGCGTCGAAGGGAGGTACCAGCGATTACCATAGATTTTACCTCGGAAGAATGATGTGCTGGCAAAATACGCGACGCGATAATACATGCATATTTGATGATGAACTTCGGCGCGTAATTTATGTGCGTAGCCTCGCGTGGGCAAAATCCGAAAATAATAGATGATGCGACGCCAAGGCCGTTAACATGACCAATAATCGAGTTTCAATCCACCGTATGTATTATACGCACTTCGATAAGCTTCGAACGCTATAGTTTTCTGCCTAGTTTCCGCGTTGTTCCCCTATTGTTTGCACGCATTTTGCGGGGGCGATTTGCCGTTTCTATTTGCGCGATAATCATTTAGCGGAATCAGCAATTAAAAATACATTGCCATTATGCTAATCAATCATGCCTGGCGTATTTGCGTATCTGCCGTTGAAATTGTAGCATAATTAAACGCGTGTAAAATATGGTGCGCGTAATTATTCGTAATTACATATTAATTAGTAACTGCGCGATTAGATGTACAATAATTACCTGTTGTTCCGTATATAAAGCCGTCACAATTTTAAACTCTCCCGCGCATAAATTCGCATAATAGACATACTTTCTACCCTCCCGCCTCAACATTGTTATTCGCGGTATCGTTAGCGAGAATATTATATATACATTTTACGCGGAGGATGTTTCATTATGCGCCGGCAACTTTCCGATATCGTATTAACACAATGCTATCGCACACCTTTTCCTACTTCAAAGCAGTCCGCGTTATTACATTTCTCCGCGTTCTCATCTCGGGAGCGAGATAACGCCCCGCGGAAATTCCGCACGGATGACGATGGCGAATAAGGGGCCCGGACGATCCCATCGCTCGTCCGCATTTTCCCCATTTTCGGGGGAATTTGCAACGGACAAGGACGACACGCGTGACGACACAATACTCGCGATACAGTCCCCGATCGACAGCTGGTTTCGATATCGCGTGTCCCGCGTGGGTGCGCCGCCCCCCTCCCTCCCCCTCGCTCCCCTCCTCCTGTCTCGCGCGTGACACACACACACACACACACGCGTTACCTTCCATTTTCGACGCCGGGCCGGTTCGGACGCCGACACCTGGTCACTTTCTGACATATGGAGCCCGTGCTGCGCGATGCTGCTTCCATCATCCGGCGCCGATGGAATCGCTTCCTCTCCGCGATTAATCTGATAAATTGCCCCCCCGCACGGTCCAGTCAAAACCGCCTGACTCCGGCAATTTCGTAATTGATTGCCGCCGGACAGGCGGCCGGGCTCTCGCTTTTGTTTGCACTCGCCACCTATTATATCTCGAGACGGCGCGGCCCGATAGTTGACCTCGATGATAAGATCGATAGAGTTCGTACGGTTCGTCCACCGCGTGGAAGAAAATTTCGCGTATTCTCTCCCGTTCGTCGATATTAATACAACGTATGCCGATCGCCCCTAGCGATCTTTCGATTATGGACGGTTCGGCGAGAACGTTTGGGGAATCGTCCCTTTACATTGCTTTTACGTCCTCTGTTTATCGGGTAAACACGACAGAAAACGATTATGTCATAACTCAACGACGTTGAACTTGCGATCTTTTTTTTTTTGCCGTCTCTCAAATGACAAAAAAATATTAGTTGCCGTAGGAAATATAAAAATGCTTGTACAAAATTGCAATAATACAAATATAAATATTGACAGGTGACGCTTGAAAAAAATCATTTCTTTCAATTTATAACTGCAATTTAATTGAATGATGATCTTCGGAATCATACATCTCGTTTATCGAGACCGAGGAAACGCGCTGAAAGTGCAGTCGCGTTAAAATATAATTTGCAACAGGTTCGTTTATCAGACGGGCCACGCGAAGATCGCCAGCGGATTGCCGCCGATAGTTCCGGGTGCGGGTCGCGAATCACATGTCAGCCGCGATTGTGCTCCCTGATTCGATGGGTACCGTCGCGTTTTGACACGTAATCATCCGTCACTTTGTCTTCTCTGTCCATCTCTCTTTCTCTCGTTCCCGACCGTCTCCTCCTCCTTTGACGTTTCACGTATATCGGAGTTGGGCGCGATGCTCCGGCCATTATTACACATTAATGTTGACGCATGAAGCAATACTCGCACATTGCACCTGATATTTCGCTAATTAGTCTGCCTGCTCGTCGGCTAATCAAGGGAATGCTGGCGTGGACCGGTCTGTAATCACGAGAATACGATTCATTGTGCGTAAGTAGCACTTGTATAAGATACCCAAGTAACGACAAATAATATAATAGCCTCTAATCAAACATACCAAATCAATATTTTTTAAGTATTCTTAATGAATTATGTTCCACGATATATTTTGATCGTAATTCAAACGTCTCGGGTAAGAGCGTAAGATTTTAATATAGCGGTTAATAAAAATTTGAAGCGCGTTATGTCATGTAATATATTTTCTCGGGGAGCAATTCGTGTAAAAAAAAAATTAATTATCAGACAGATAACGATCGACCCGATTTCGCGACGTTAGAAAATTGCCATGGCGCTTATCGTCTTTATCGTCACGATAAAATTATATCTCGCACACACTGACATTTTTAATCGACACGCTATTAGCTACGGCGACGGTCTTGATTGATTTTAAACGAAAGACAACGCGGTTGAACTATGGCGAATGGAAAGGACCGCAATAATAATAATCGATCAGCTCGAGATTCTCGATTGCGGTCGCGTTCCCGACCTTAATTGATTGTATATCCGCTTAATCGATATAAAAGGCCACGTTTTAATCAACGTCTGACGCGTGATGATCGAACGTTGCCACTTTCCCGTTAATTTTCTAGATATCTAAGATCCAGGTACGACGGCGTTTTTATTAAATTTCTCGAGGATCTTTTTTACAAATTTTTACTTTTATTAATATCAGTATATTTTATTAATATTGTTATATTAATATTACATGTGAATAATAATGTAAATTAATCAATAATATCATTAAACTTAAGATACGCGTAAGAACATTACAGGAAATTCTTTTTTATTTACTTTTAATTTAGAAAATAAAAATGTAATCTCGCACACACTAATAAAAAATTTAGATTCTTTAAAAAGATGCGTATCGGTTAAGCAATATAATTTTGTTATTGAGGTAATTTATCTTTGCGAGATGAATGTTTCTTTCTTTTTTTTTTTTTAAGAAAAATTGCTCGAAATTTTGAAAACTTCGACAAAGAAAGACAACGCGCGTGTGCTCGAATATCACATTAACATATTTCATGAATCTTGCATGAGATTGCGTAAATATATGCATAAATATGCATATCTTGGTATACCTAATGGTCTAAGTCTATGGCAATGTATTACAAGATTCGATTACTTAGTAGTTAGCGACAAATAGACAAGGGTCGACCCTGATCCTCTATGTCAAGTTTGCTCGCGGGGAATCGATTGTTTGCGAAGGGTACATCTCGCGACCCACCATCATTGCAGTTTCTGTACTTTTTATATTATGGAAAAATGATAGTAACTTTTTTGTGAAGAATCTTGCTTAAAAATCGTTGCCTAACAACAAAGAAATTACATTACAATTACATTTGTGCAACTATGTTTTAACTGTTTTCCACATGTAAATATATATATGTGATACATTGATTAAAAAAACAAAAAATATTTTTAAAAAATTATTTTTTGTCAAATGTAAAGATTAAGGATGTTTTGTATGTCTCAGCAAAAAGTAGCTGAAATCAATATTAATGAATATATCCATTTTTGGTGTATTTTGAAAAATTGTGTGGAATATTATAATTTGATCTTAGCTACAGTGCAGAGATGTATTTTTAAATATTTATTGCGTTTTTACTGAAATATTCCGAATTTTATTAATCGAAATGATTAACTTTTGGCAGAGAATTTCGCCTTGTGACAGATACATGATTAACTTCATTGAATTATATTTAATAATTAACTTTTTAACCAGTTAGTACTTGTATAATATTATTTGACCAAATATTTCCTCTGTTTCTAAACTTTTGCAAATTTTAAACAAATTCTGAATATTATTTCCATGTGTTTTTGTCATTTGAATCGACGTGGTTATACGTTTCCCATACGAACACATGTTAATTCGGTGCAAATTAAAATCCTTATAACTTGTGAACGCCTTAATGAATCGATTTAAAAATTGTACTGAAGATTCTAAACATATATAAGGACATTCCGTACAATTTTCATTAAATTCTCAATATTTCTAAAATAGGTACAAAACATCCTTAATTAAAAAATTAAATTTCACACAAAATTGTTATCATTTGAATTAAACTTAAGGCGTGCTCTTTATTTCCGTACAAGCTGAACTACCTTTTCACTCTATTAAGGCGTGCTCTCTTAAATATTTTCAAGTTCCTTTTCTTAACACCGCTGTATAGCGTCTATTGAGCGAGATCTCATCCAGTCCTCTCGCGTTGTGGCGCCGTCGAGAGGAGCGTCCTCGAGGCGGTTGAAATCTGCCTGCTCTCCCGGGGAGAGCAGGCAGCAGGCAGGTAAAAGAGACGCCGGAAGTCGGCGGGAAAGGGGGAAATCGCTGTCGAAAAATCAAGGTACGGTAAGCGGCGCCGCGACGTTCGCAATTTCCGCGACTGAGGGGGAAAACGTCGCGTCTGCCTGCCTGCCTTAAACAGCCGTGCCTCGATTCGCGTGTCACAAAGAGCATATCCGCGTACCGTG